GTCAACTTCAAACCATGAGCCGCACTGCGGGACCTAGAGATTCCTAGAGGGAACACTTCTTTAGGCATTTGTAGGTCCTCCACTGCAATTTCATGGTCAACCTCTGGCAGATCTTGACCATAGAATTGCCCTGGAGGACCTGGAGATTCCTAGAGAGGTGTTCTCTCAGGTAAAAAAAAAAAAGTGGTTTGTTGTTGTTGTTGTTGTTTGTGGATTTTCCACTTTCCCGGAGGTCCTATGTCCCTAACCGCAGCGAATGTGGAGAGTCCACTGTACTATTTGGGCATCCAAGGGGGATGAAGGTAAGAGGAAGAACAAGGAAGGGACATCTGCTTGGCAGGACTAAGATGTTGTCAGTAGTAGAATAATCAAAACAAATTTCTGGGCTTGAAAACCTTTAATTCTAAGCTTTGGGTCTTTTGTATCAGGCTCTAGTTGGTAAATCTTGGGGTTCTAATATATTTTTTTAAAGATTCCAAATACCAGAAGCTTGTCCTACCTCTGGTCTAGAGAAGTCCAAACTTTGGGCAACCTTTTTCTACTGGAGATTTTACAGTGTTGAACAATGATACAGTGGCAAATATTCACCTATGGTTTTGGTTCCTCCTGTTCTGGCTTTCTCTGTACTCAAAGTGGTTGAAATGCATATATACTTGCACTCCCAGCCTATGTTGGATTCAGGGACTTGGCAGTGTTTTCAGCTAATCTGGAGATGTGTGTATGACAACAAATTTGCCATTTCTGTTTTTATGCAAAAGCTCTATCTGTTAGGAGTCAGCACTCATATTAAAATACTGATATATTTTCCCCTCCCTTTTTTTTTTTTAGCAATTATTATGATTGGGAAAGGTAGATGTTAAAAACATACGGGGTGCAGTTCTCCAGTGGAAATGGTTGGAAATTCTTTTTCAGATTAAGTTTTCAGAAGAGGAGTCAAACATGTATTGCAATAGATGTGCATTGCACAATTGTCCATTTGGTTCCACTTTTGGTGTCTTAGTTCAGTTGCACAAAGTTTCCATTCAATGCAATTAATGTGTAACTTCGCATGAAGAGATTTAATACCAAACAAATCAGAGGATTTAGAATCTTGGCTAGGAAGTGTTGAGGAAGCCTTCTCACTTTTATTGGACATCTCTTTTCCTGACTTCTTCACATTTCATTTATTCTACCTATTTTTGATATATTTTGTTGATTATGTTTCCCCTTCCTTTGCTGACATCTAAGATAGGTAACTTCATAAAAGGAAGTACCAGTAGCATAGTCTGAGAATGTTTCATTCCATTCCA